GTATATATCGTGTGTCGTGTGCGAGTAAAAATTTACAAACGCCGAGTCGAGGATTCATTGTTCGCAATTTTCAAGGTTCATGAAATGGATAATAGATAGGCCCATTCTAATCCTTTAGCCATTGTTATCTCAGAAAAAGGATAAATAAAAGCTCTTCTCTTCTCGTTTTTGAATAAACGTCAGTCTCTTTCATTCTATACCTATAATATACATGTATATGTCTTTCTCTTTCTCTCTCTCTCTCTTTCCGTTTGTGTATAGGTGTACGTAGGTGTATTTTCAACTCGAACATCAGAATATATTTCTGGTTAGAACGAAGAAAATCTCACGAGTTATACAGTTGTTTATCTCCATATACATATAAATATTATATATATATATATATATATATATATATATATATATATATATGTATAGTAATAAGTAAAATAATTAAATTATACGATTAAATTATATAATTGAATTCGAACCCCTAAATTGCGAATAATATATAATAATATCAATAATTAAATAAATAGTGATATATAATATATATAGATGGTTAGATTAGTTATATTATTAGTTATATAATTATATCTAATATTTAATAAAATTGAACTTTACGAATAATTGCGAACAAAAATGAATATCCTTCTGTCCTCGTCGCTCTTATATGTTCGAATTTGATCGAATACTCTTCATTCTTCTCTCTCTCTCTCTCTCTCTCTCTCTCTCTCTCTCGCGCTCGCTCGTTCATTCTCACTCTCACTCTCTCTCTCTCTCTCTCTTTCTCTTTCTTCCAATGCCTAGAAAAACATTTCATCATATAGAATATATCACATACGCGTTTATCTCTAAACACACTGAAATAAGAAGCACTTTAAGATAGATGTCCTAGAGATATACAACATCGGGCCAAAAATCCGATAGACCGATTTTTTTTTCTTTTTTATTTCAATTTCAATTTTAAATCGTTCATATAACTCTTAACTCCAGTATAATATGTCTTTTTTGTATATGTGTGCTATATAATACATACAAGTCATGTTGTCTCTCTTTCCATCTTTTACATTCACTTGACCTTTCCTTCTCTTTCTCTTTTTCTCTCTCTCTCTCTCTTTCTCTCTCTCTATCTATCTCACTATCTCTCTTTCATTTTCTTTCTCTCAAAGCTCTCATGTATGTGTTTCTCATATTTACGTATATGTGCGGATGTTAAAAAGCGCGTTTTCGAACATGCACAATAAAACCATTAATGCTTGATTTTCATAATTTCTCTTTCAATACCTTTCTCTTTTTCTTTGTGTTTTCTTTCTTTTTCTCGTCTTAGTTTTTCTCTTTCCTTTTATATATTTTTTTTTGGCCTTTCCTTTTAATGTAACAAGACGCTAAACGACGTTTTTTCTTTTTTATTTATTTATTAATTAATTCATTAATTTATTTATTTATTTATTTATCTCTCTTTTAATTATTATTTTTACCTGCGGAACCACGCGGCGTAACAGCAAAGTATTGGACTTTATTACGACGAATATGCTTTCTTCCCTCTCTTTCTATCTTTCTTTCTCAATTTTTTTCCTCTCTTTTTTTTTTTTTTTTTTTTTTTTTTTTTTTTTTTTTTTTTTTTTTTTTTTTTTTTTTTTTTTTTAATACTTTTTTAACGCGTGTATAAATTAATAATAGCAATCTCCGCGATTCTATGAAGTAGCATAATTTTCTTTCCTTTTCTTTCCTCCCTCTCTCTCTCACACTCTATCTTTCTTTTTTTATCTTTTCTCTTTAATTTTTTTACTTCTTGTTTGTTCGGTTTATTTTTATTTTTTGGACAATCGTAAGTTAAACGTTAACTTATTCATCATTATCATTATGATCATTATCATCATCATCATTATCATCATTATCATCATTATCATCTTCATCATCATCATCATCATCATAATCATAATCATCATTGTAACTTTTATATTTGGCATAACATTTTTGATTAGAAATTATGACGAAATATTTACATTCATTCATAGTTTATACACTTAGCGTAAATTGGGATGATCGTTAATTATTTATTCTTTTTTGTTTTTTTTTTGTTTTTTCATTTTTTTAAAGGAAATTCGGTGGCGATGGAGAAGGGGACGAGAAGTAGTGGGATATAGAAGTAATTTAAAAAAGAATTGAAGATCTTAATATCGTTTACAAAGACGATACGAAAGCGATATTGCATTTCTAAGAGAAAAATTAAGCGAGAAAGAAAAAATAAACAAATAAACAAACAAAAAAAAAAAGAAAAGAAAAGAACAAAAAAGATCAGAGGTGAGGGGGGGCAATGGTTGGAGAAAAGCGAGAGCAATTTTTTTTTCGCGAATATATTTGACAAAAGCGATGAATTTTTACGAATTTTTTCTCTTTCTCTCTTTTCTTCTTTTTTTTTTTTTTTTCTTTTTTCCTATTTTCCTTTACTTTCCGTTTTATTTAAATACATTTCTCGCGGGAGAAAAGATTAGATTAGAGCAAGGATACATTCTAAGATGGATTTAGTTAAGTAACGACGAATAAAAATTAAATAGATTGGAAATTGATAGTAAAAAGAAAAAGAAAGAAAGAAAATAAAAAGAGAGAACAGAAAAGAATAAGGAAAAAGAAAAAGAATTATATACGACGATATCGATTAAATTCGAGACGAGGAAAGAAGTATATGTATATATATATATATACATATACACATATATGTACGTGCATCCGTACGTATTTATGTGTGTGTGTCTACGTACGAATAAGAACCACGCGAGTGTGCAGCGAAGCAGATATTTTCATCTACCTTCTCTAATAAAAAATACAAGTAAGGTAGCGCGCGCTTATGAATCAGCCCATACGCGAAAGAACTTTCCTGCTAACGTCGCTAAGAACGTTTCAATTTCGAGGCACGCAGTAGTATTACGTGAAGTATATTAATGGCACTATCGATCACTCGCATTAAATATTACAACGTTAGAAAAATTGCATGATGAGCCCGAAGATAGAGTCACCCTATTTTTTTTTTTCTTTCTTTCTCCTCTTTTCTTCTTTTTCTTTTTCTTTTATTTCTTTTTCTTTTCTTTTCGTTTCTTTTCATTCATCTTTTTCTTTTTCTTTTTCTTCTTCTTCTTCTTCTTCTTCTTTTCTCTCCGTACTTTTAATTTTTTTTTTCTGACCACTCTTTTTTAATTGACTTTACGAAAAAAGCCTTGTCGTAATACTAATGGCGCACAGTTTTACAATCACTCCATGATGGACAATTAATAAAATAGTGGAGATTACGATATTATTATTATTATTATTATTATTATTATTATTTTTATTATTATTATTATTTTTAATTTTATAATTATTATTCTTATATTTTTTTTCCGTTTTTTTTTTCTTATTTTCTTTTCCTTTTTTTCTTTTTTTACACGCTACTGCACTATTTTGTCAATCGAGCCTGATCGTCGGAACACTTTACCGCCACATTTTCCTTTTGTATTAATTTTTATTTATTTATTTATTTATTCATTCATTTATTCATTTATTTATTTATTCGTTTATTTACTCATTCATTTATTCATTCATTTGTTTACTTATTTATTTGTTTGTTTGTTTGTTTGTTTACTCGTTTTATTTAATTTTGTTTCTCCTTTTTTTTTCTTTACTTTGTTTTTCTTCAAACGACATTTTCCCATTCAATTAGCGCGAAATTTCGAATCATGCGATCGAACTTTCGCGGGACTCTTATTCGAAGTTTATGTAAAACAGTGCCACGTTAAAGGACTAATGATAAGATAATCGTACAGCTCCTAAAATTAAAATAGTTTACAGTATATGTTCTCTCTCTCTCTCTCTCTCTCTCTCTCTCTCTTTCTCTCTGTCTTTCTCACACTTTCAGGCGTATATTCGTACACAATCACGCACGAGAAGGGGATGATGGGCGGGGATCGAGTATTATAAAGAGAAACGAGAACGTATTATAAAAGGAAAGATATACGAAATAATTCGTTCTTTTTAACCTTTTTTCTTTTTTCTTTTTTTTCTTCTTTTCTTTTTTTTCCTGTATCGAAAACGAACGATGAAAAACATAAGCGTCACTCTATTATCGGCTGCTTGACTCAAGCTGGGCGAGCCTTGATCCACTAAGTTTTTCAAACCGATACTCACGAGTTTAAAATGACAACGCTTTTTTTCGTTTTTCTGTTCAACGCACCGATCGATTCATTTTAATCTTAAATTTTCAATATAAACAACAACGATTCGATTATTATTTTTATTTCTTTTTTTTTTTACTCGCGAGTAACGTCGTTCGAATAACTTCGAATGGTTGAATTTAAGTCTAACAGATTATTAATCCTTTCGCTCAGACCTATCGAACAACAATTACCGTAATGTCAATTATCAACGCCAAGCGATAAAAAAAAAAAAAAAATGAAAAGTATTAAATTTAAATAAGATTTTCATAGTTTTTAAGATCGATCCTTGCAATCTAATTAAAAATGAAAGCATTAGAATGCTGGAGGATAAATAATCACCTAATGGCGTCAACAGCAACATTACGACAAGAATTGAACACTCTGAGGCGCTAATAGTTATACGGCAGTTATCGTAGTATCATCATGAGTATCTACAGTGGCGAAAGGTTAATAGGTAATAACCTTTAATCTCGGGATAGAGAAGAGAAAAAAAAGGAAAAGAAAAGAAAAAAGAAAATTCGTAAAGCCTTCCTGTTCCCTTGGAACATCGTCGAAATAAAAACAAAATAAAAAGCAAAAAATGCGTCGATTTGCATCGATGACAAAAAAAGAAAAAAACAAGAAAAAAGAAAAAGAAAAAAATTAGAAAAAGAAAAAGAAAGCAAAAACGATAATATTACTATTATTATTACTACTAATAGTAATAATAATAGTAATAATAATAGTAATAATAATAATAGTAATAATAATAGTAATAATAATAATAATAAAGAGAAAAGAGGAAAAAGAAAAAAGTAAAAGAAAAACAAAGAAAATAGTTCAGTCTCTCTCTCGCTTTCTCATTCTTACTCTTTTTCATACACACACACATATACATGCACACATACACATACGCAAATACACAAACATACATACACACACACACGCACACGCACACGCACACACACACACACTTGCACTTACACTTACACTGGCGGCATCAGACTTTTCCGTATGAGTCTTCTCTCTATACATTTTTGGGAACGTTTAATATAGGACCCCCGATTTTAAGAAGGTATCTAATGTCCTTCCCCCATTTTAATGGGGATGGTAAAAGCAGGGTGTCGAAGAGTACGTGATAGCCGTGGGAATAATCGAGGACTATGATCGATATATGAAACTGCAGGGTGGCGTTAGGGTTGGCGGTGGTGGCGAGCCACTCATCGCGATCGGTACGAGGGTCGGCGATGGCGACGAGGAGGGAGGGGAGGGGGAACTCGAGGAGACGCTGGAGGGTGGCGAAGGCGACTCGAGTGCCCTCGGGCCAGCTAACTCACGATTGGACTGTCCCCCTGAGGACGTCACAGCGCGACTACTTCTACCGGCTGAACTCGCGTTGTGACGATTCCGTGTTGGCCGTCCTAAGCTCCGGTGACGGCCACCTCCCTCCTCGCTCGTTTCTCAGAGATAAACCTTTTTAACGCTGCGTGTCGTCGCGAATCCGTCGTTCCGACGATACGCATCCCCTTGATGGGAACGGAGAGTACCAAAATTATCTCTTGGACCACGGAAACCATAACCATCTGGAAACTGGAATAAAGTTTCCGTTGGGGTTGGCGGTGGTTTTCTCATGGTACCCTTTGGTGAATGCATCTTAGATGGTTGTGGAACTAAAACTGGTTCTGCGTAAGTAACCTCTTCTTGCGGCAGTAACTTTGGTTCAGGCGCTAACCTATAAATAATTGAGATATTTGTTTTTTCTTCTTTTGTATTAGTCATTAATCATATTAGTAATTTTTTCGAATAAACCCCGGTATGGTTTTTACCTGTTGACGTTTTGACGTTGTTCGAAGTATTCATACTCCGTATCCGGATATGGCAAGTTATCATCCTCATCTTTTCTACACTTTCGACCGCATAGATAACCCGCAACAAAACCAACGAGCAATGCTGCCAATGCACCGGCCACTACAGCCATCACTAAAGTCTCAACGCTGTACTGCGGCGGTGGTGAATCAGCGGCTGATACTTCTGGACCTTTAACGTTTAATGATAAAATTAAATATATACGTTATCCTTGAGTTTAATACGGTTTAATAATAAATAACTTTGATATACCTGAACTGTCTTGTTCTTCGTCTTGCATGATATTTATTATTTCTCCGCCTTGACTCTCTTTATTGGGTATCATCGAATCCTGAGGGAATTTATTTTGATTAGCAGAAATGGCACCGACACTACTAGCGTCCTTATTTAATCCTTTACTTGGCGGGCAGGACGCATGGATACCAGTTGCTACGCTTTGCAAAAATCTGCTGGCATCCGTAACAGCTGGACCAACCAATGCACGACACTTGCCCTCAATCTTGTCCCAAGCACAATATGGATCCTGGAGAGCTACACATTCGCCGCAGGACAATATCCTGTCACCGTAACAACGATGCAACCTCAGTGCTTGGACTTGGCTATCTGCTATCACAACCAGTCGGCCATCTTCCAAACCATCACCGGCTTGCGAAGCACGGACGACTTTTATTCCACGAACAGGTACCGTTGATGGAAACGCTTGAATCTCTTCGATCACAACTGGACTAACTTTTTCGTGAGAATCCGCTGACTCAGCGTTCACAGCTTTGATAACCTTTCCATTGTCTGTGCCGATGAAGAGGACGTCGTAAGTCTTACCACCTGGTGTCTTCACTTGAGGATCCACTGCGATTTGTGTAAACCTGTAACTGTTTTTTCAAAAATCCGATTTGTAATTCTATTTCTATATATACATAAAGTGTTATTAAGAAAATGTCTAGATGAATTTTATTTTTCTAGATTTTCAAGTTAAGTTAGATTAAATCATGTTAGATGATAAGTTAGGTTTCTTTAAGGTTTTTGGATTAAGTTTAATTAATTTCTTTTTCTTGTTTTTCTTTCTCTTTCAGTGATTAAATACTTAAATATTAAAGATTAAGTTAAAATTTATAGGGTTAAATTTTATTCTATCTAAAAAAGAAAATAAAAAAAAAAAGAAAAGAAGAAACAGAAATAATTAGTATTATTATTAAGAGATATATCATATATAAAAAAAAATAAACTTTATTGAAAATTGCTACATATAATAATTAATAAATTAGGCTTCTTTAGGTTTTTCTTTCTTTTTCAATAATTAAATACTTAAATATTAAAGATTAAGTTAGAATTCATAAGATTAGATTTTATTTTATCTAAAAAAAAAAAAAAAAAAAAAAGAAAAAATCTAAAAAATATCTAAAAAAGAAAAAAAAAGGTAACAGGAATAATTAACATTATTATTAGGAGATATATAATATGTAAAAGAAAGTATATCTTACTGAAAACTGGTGCGTATAACGATCGGTTGTCCAAAAAAGCTCGGCACTGATTCGTCCATCAGGGAATGGGTGTTGATAAAGTTTAAAGTTAAGTCCGGTAAAGTGCGGGAATCATTGACACACTGTCCCGGCCTAGGATCGGGTACTTTGGCACTTTGTACAGGCAGCCAGTTTGAGTTGAGCGCGCTTTGCTCCTTGAAATTACCCTCGAAGGTATCGGTGATATCCTGGAGGGAAAAGGCGCACACAGCTGAGCCGCTTATGCTATTTACCGGGGTCGTGAACGTGCCGTATATCAGCTGGGCTGATAAACTTCCATATTGTCCGGATATCAATTCGGTCGTTGACTCTGCGAATTAAAATTATTTATTTATTTATTTATTTATTTATTACTGATTTCATAATTATGGAAAAAATCGTCTATATCGAAACACAATTGTCGATTGGATTAAAAAATTTATTTCAACGATGTGTAATTGCTTTTAATCTTTTTTATTAATGATTTTAACATTATATAAAAGAAAAGAAAATATATCTACGAAAAAGTACATCTATCGCAATCTAATCGAATCGCAATCTTCAATTGGATTAAAAAATTTATTTCAATGATTTGTACTTGTTTTTTATTTATTTATTAATAATTTAAAATTGTCAAAGAAAAAAGAAATTAAATCTACAAAACGTACGTTTATATTTAACCACAACTGTCGATTAGATTATAAAGTTTATTTCAACGATTTGTAATTTTTCTTATTTTTTCTTGTTTTTCTTAGTTGCATCTTTCAAATTTTATCACAGTTTGATAATCCGCATTTGCATTTTTTTTCTTTAAATTATTAATTCCTTCTCTCCTTATATTCATTCTATCAGCCATTTTGATAATTTTTAATTATTATATACTACTTGATTTTTGTATCTATTTATGTTTTTGCTTAAAATTTTTAATTTTTTTTTTGCTAACAATTTTTGTATCAAGTGCTACGAGTCATTTTATTTCTTCTTCAAATTTACTATTGTCTTCTAATTGTAATTATTTAGTGTTTTAGAATGTATACATCTATCGTAATAATATCTCGAATAAATAAGTCATAGTAAATGTCTCGATAATTTTTTATTTGTACCATTGATACCTTATATAATTGATAATTAATAAGGATCTTGATTCAATAAAGGTATACTTATCGATAGGAAATAAAAATTCGTTCGAGGTGGAATAACTCACGTATTTCATTGAAGTAAAAAGGGAAGTCTCCGGTGACGGAGCAATTAAGACGAGACTTCAGGAAAGACGTCCATCTGTTACGAAAACGATGGGGTCCGCCCCGATCGTATTTGCAGACTCTCGCTACGCGAGAATAGACGGCCTGAAAAATGTCAAACAAAAGTGAGATAATAATAATAATAATAATAATAATAATAATAATAATAATAATAATAATAATAATAATAATAATAATAATAATAATAATAATGAAATAATAATAATAATAATAATAATAATAATAATAATAAAATAATAATAATAATAATAATAATAATAATAATAATAATAATAAAATAATAATAATAATAATAATAATAAAAGAAAAAAAAAAGAAAAAGAAAAGAAATTTCTATATCATTATCTTTATTTTTAAAGATGGTTTAACGTATTTATCTATTATATTTAACATTTTATCTTCTTATTCGAAGTGAGTGATCAAGAATCGTTCATTTTCTTACTACATAACATCACAAACTTCGCCGTCTTTGAACTTTTAGAAATCTGTCAAAGCTTGGAGAAACTCCAAAGCACAACGGGAAGCTTTCGTAATAACCAAGAGGGCAGGACTTAAGAAGAGTCATTCACAATTGACCCCTCAGCTTTCGAACTTTCCTTCGATCGAAAGGTAGTAAAGAGACGGAAGTAGGGTGGAATCGTTTGCCAATAGAGAATGGGTAAAGAAACCGGGCCTTCTCTAAAAGCTCACTCTGAATGGCCACTGATCGTAAGAGACTTAATCGTCTTAAATGGCCGATAAGAAATGGCCGAAGAAAAGGATCAAAGTACCAGTTGCTACGAGAAAGAATGAAAGTTTATTTCTATAGATAATATTTTTTAACAAAATAAAAAGAAATAATGATATAGAAAATAAAAAAAAAAAAAGCAAATGAAAAAGAAAAAGGAAAAGGAAAAAATACGAAAAGAATTATTCTATTCGATAGAGAATTATATTTTATATATATGTATATGTGTGTATATGTGTCTATTAATTTTTTTTTTTTAATAATATTCTAGTAATTCTTTAAGATCACTCAGTTTAACACATTACAAAATTATATATGATATGCATATCTAGCACCAAAGTTAATAAAGAAGAAAAAAGAATAAAGAAGAAGAGTATAAAAAGAAAGTATTAATAATCTAAATCTCATAATATCATTTTTTTGTTAGTATTAACAAAGTAATTTGTTAAAATTTTTTTACTTAAAACAATCTTATAAATATAATATGTATGATAAACAAACATTAAGGAAAAAAAGTAAAAGAATAAAAAAGAAAGAAAAAAGTAAAAAGAAAAGAAAAATGTATAAAAAAAAAAAAATATTAGTGGTTTAAATATTATAAATTAATTTTTTTCCAATATTACCAAAGAAATTTTTTTAATTTATATAGGCCATTTTATAATTATGATATGTAGTCTAATTTTTACAAAAATTAATAGAAAAAGAAAAGAATATAAAAAGAAGATATTGGTAAATTAGATCATATAAGTACATTTTTTTTGTTAGTTCTAAAATAATAATTTATTAAAATTGTTATTGTTCATTTAAACCCATTTTTATAATTATATATGATATATAGCATAAAAGTTTATCAAAAAAAGGAAAGAAAAAGAAAAAGTTATAAAAATAAAGTAATCTAAATCATATAAGTTTATTTTTGTTTGGTTAGTACTAAAATAGTAATTTATAAAAATTATTTATTTAACTATTTATTTATTTAATTAATTATTTATTATAATATATTATTATATTATAATATATTATTAATATATATATATATATATATATATATATATATATATATACAGTATGAAAATTAATAGAAAAAAAGAAAAAAAAAAAGAAGGAAGAAAGTATAAAAAAAGGTATTAATACTCTAAATCATAAAATAATAATTTCATAAAATTATTCGATCGTGCCGACCTGATAATAGCACGTTGCATATAGAATGAAAATCATTAAGATGCAATGAAAAGATATAGAAGGGAAGTCATGTGACTCTCGTTTAGGAATATATTATCAGAATATATAAGTCGATCGATAATGCGCTTAATGAATTATTTCCGCTTTAATTACGTTCCCTCGATAATAATCAAGAGATTTATCGATCGTTACTCACCTTGCCGCAGTTTATATATTCAACGGCAGTCTCCCTGAAGAAGAAGTAGACAAAGTCACCTTGGGACATGGAACTCACAAAATTTGGAGCTGTAACAAAATAAATACTTTACTTGTTAGATAAAAAAAATATATATGTACATATATATATTATTGTTTAGAATATCGTTTTATGTGAAAATAATTCACATGTTAATTGTGAAATTAGAGATATTTAATTTTTAAAATGAATATATGAGATAATAGAATAAGTTTTACTCCATACATACAAGTAAAAATTGTCATTAAATTATTTAGAATGTTATTTAGAATATCGTTTTATACGAAAACGATTTTATAAGTTACGTGAAGTAAAAGATATTTGATAAAAAATAACTTCAAAGATAAAAAAAGAAATAAATAATGTCGTCATACGTTAACTATATATGCGAAAATCATTCATAGATTGTTTGGAATAATTAAAAAATTAAACTTTGTTCAGATTATTATTTTATGTACGAACAAAAATTAATATGTTACATGTAATTACATTTAGAGTTATTAATTCTCGAAATACAAAGGAATAATATCATGTCAAGTCAAAAGTCATATCAGTGAGATTAATTTATTATTAGATTATTTAGAATATTGTTTGGTATATCGTTTTACATGAAAAGATTTAACGTATTATGTTAAATTAGAAATATTAATTTTTTGTAAATAAAAAGAAGTAATATTCATGACAAGTACCTGTATATTCGTGAATCTAATTTTTTATCAGATTATTTAGAATATTGTTTTACATAAAAATAATTAATGTATTACATTTAATTAGAAATATTAATTTTATAGATAAAAAGGAGTAATATTCATAATAAGTTTAAGTATATTAGTGACCCTAATTTATTAGATTGTTTAGAATATTATTTGGAATATCGTTTAACATGAAAACGATTAATCCGTTACTTGGAATTAGAGATATTAATTTTGGAACTAAATATGAGTGACATAAGGCTAAGCCTGGCTGAACTAGCGAGTCTCATTTATACGTTGTTTAGAATATTGCTTAGAATATCATTTAACTTGAAGATAATTAATGTATCACGTAGAGTCAGAGATATTAGTTTTGAAGATAAGAAAAAGATGAGTGACGTCACTCCAAACCCCGACTATCATCTATACGTTCCTTAGAACATTGTTTAGAACATTGTCTAGAATATTGTTTTACACGTATCATATTAATATTTTATACAGTTTTGGAGGCAAAATTTTACCGATGAGAAAAAAACAATTAGTGAGGCTAAGGGCAAGTTTAAGAATACATACTTATTCTTATTATTTGCATGTTATTTAGAAGATTGTTTAGAACATCGTTTTATATGAAAACGAAAATTATCGTTTCCTATGAATTTAGAAGATATTTTTCATTTTAAATTGAAATATGAGCGATAACTAAACTTGACTTATACACTTGCTAGTTCCAATTGTTATCACATTATTTAGAACATTTTTTAGAATGTCATTTTAAATATATGATGACAATTAATATGTCATGTAAATCAAGATAAAATCTATTAAAAAAAAAAAAATTTTAAAGATAAACATAAAAAGAAATATAAATGATATCATTTGTATACACACTGACTTTACTATATAATCAAGCCACGTTTATACATTGTTTAGAATGTAAACATTGTTTGGAATGTTGCTTTTACGTTAGAAGCAAATAATATTGTAATTGAAACAAAACAAATATTTTCCTCGCGTTAGAATAAAATTACTTTGAAGTTTTCTAAGACTTCTGTTAAAATAAAAAAAAAAAAAAAATGAGAAAATGAAAAAGTGGCTAAAAAAAATGGCTAGAAAAAGTATCCTTTCGTTAAAAGGATTGAAAAATAAAAAAATAAAAAAATAAAAAAATAAAAAAATAAAAAAATAAAAAAAAGTAAACGAACAAAAGGAAGAAAAGGTTCGAATATCAGCCTATTAACTTTGTTATCGTCATCCTTATAATTCCTTTTCGAACAGGACGTTCATACAGAACTTTTTTATTTTCAGCGATTATTTCGAGAATCCTGTGGTAAAACTCTCTCTCTCTTTCTCTCTCTCTCTCTCACTCTCTCTCTCTCTCTCTCTCTCCCTCTTTCTCTCTTTTGTCGGTAAAGTAGGAAAACTTTATCGATTTATTAACCGTGACAGGGTTTTCATAAGCTTCTTAAGATTCATAAAGTAATATTAATCTCGCGCTTTACGTACGAGCTATCCTATAAATTTTCTCCGTTCTCCTTTCTTATACAGAGACACGTACACACACACACACACAGACAGAGAGAGAGAAAGAGAGAGAGACACACATACACACACATACAACACGCACATACACATACGTACACACTTATACACACAACGTATACACAAATACGTTTCGTAGAGACGAAGATTCATCTTTTTCCGATCTTCGATAAGCACTAAGGACAAATTATCAAGCTTCTTACAATATTCTGATCTATTATAGGAATTCTCTTATTTTCCATACGATTAAAATCGACTTTGATCGACGTGTCTTTATCTCCTAATCTCCCGTTTCTTGGAATCGATGGAAAGTCGCCTTTGAATTGTTCAACAACGAAAGATGGAACAAGAAAGATATATATATATATATATATATATATATATATATATATGTATAGATAGAGAAAGAGAGAGAAAGAGAGAAAGAGAGAGAGAGAGAGAAAGGGAGAAAGAGAGACAGATAGAAAGAGAAAATTGAATTTTCTTCCGACCGAAAATCAATATTATCCAACTTGGGTAGGAAAACTTGATTAGCGCTCGTACACCGTTCAATTAAAATACCCTCGGAGACGAGATAGCGGGATAGAGGTTGGTAGGAGGGATGTGGAATGGGAGGGGTGGAAAAGAGTGGAGGGAGCCTCGAACAAAGTGACGTATCAATTTTAACGCTCCGTTCGAACAAACCAACCCACCAACCATCCAACCAACCTACCTACCAACCAACCAACCAACCAAATGACCGGACGGCCGACGACATCGACGATTCTTAACGAAAATTTTCATTCCCTTCGAACGATTCATTTTATTAATATCTACCCATCTGGTAGCACAGCACATTCTATTCGTTAGGCGTCGTCCCAGAAATTTTTTTTAAATCTTTTCAATGATAACGACGACGACGACGACGACGACGACGACGACGACGACGACGACGACGACGAACCACATTAACTGATCGTTATTTTTTTTCTTTTTCTTTCATTTCGTATAATTGAAAAAAAAAGAAGAACAATGAGAAAAACTCGGAGAAGGAATTTACCAAAAAAAGAAATATCCGAAAGAAAAGGGTGATGAGGGGAAAGTGGTAAAGAGGTGATAGTGGTGGTAACAGCTCGACTTTAAGCTACTTACACACGATGCCGTTTTATCGTAGCAAAAGAAGAAGAAGAAGAAGAAGAAGAAGAAGAAGAAGAAGAAGAAGAAGAAGAAGAAGGAAAAAAATGTGCTTTTGCAAAGAAAAAGAAGCGCCAACAACTCGGTCGATTTTTATAAAAATGAACAAGGAAAATCCTTTGCTTGACGAGATTCTTCATTATCGTCTTCTGCCTTTCTTCGTCTTAAGAAAGGTTTAGATGCTGTATAAGAAAGAGAGAGAGAGAGAGAGAGAAAGAGATAGATATATAGAGATAAAGAGAGAAAGAGAGAGAAATAGAGAGAAAAAAAGAGAGAGAGAGAAAGAGAGAGAAACAGAGAGAGGGAGAAAGAAAGAAACGAAGAAAAGAGAAGAAGAACAAAAGAAATCCGATTTTCTCTTCGTAAATTTTTTTTCATGCTTTCGTTTTTTTTCTTTTTCTTTTTCTTTTTTTTTTTTGTTCCTTTTTCTTATTTTTTAGTTTTCTGTCGTTCTTTTTCTCACTCCCTCCCTCTCCACTTTTTTTGCCCTTAATCGCACGAAACTGATACGTGCTTGCAACTTGAAGGAAAAAGAAATTTGTTACGCTGATGAGAGGATACGGTTGGTTAATTAGTTTGTTAGTTAGTTGTTAGTTACTTAGTTGATTTTTCTTTTTTTCCTTTTTTTTTTTTCGAAAAGGACGTAAAAGTGTTAAGTTACAAAATTTTTATTATCTCTTATATGTAACGAGGTGAAAGATCATGAGGATTAATGACTATTTTTTAAATTCATCTAAATGCGCGATTTACCTCGGAATTAGATAGATCGAATAGATTAGTATTATTCTCGCGAGAGATTTTTTTTTTTTTGTTTTTATTCGATCATAAGATTTCTCTGAATAATTATTGAATGAATTTCTGTTCTCTCTCTTTCTCTCTCTCTCTCTCTCTCTCTCTCTCTCTCTTTTTATTCTTTTTATCCTTTTATCTTCTTTCGTTTGGAATCGACTGAGAATTTTCGAAAATCGAATTCTCATTCTTTTCTCGACGAGGAGGAATACGGCCTGTTAAATAATTCCTTTCGTACTTAAATATCCGTGAATTTATAAGAGATAAAGAGAGAGAAAGAGAAAGAGAGAGAAAAAGAAGGAGAGAGAGAGAGGGAGAGAGAGGGTGGAAGAGGAAGAGAGAAAATTCTTTTGGAATTTCGAACGAACGAACTACGCTGAACTCAGCGTAGTTGGTTAACCAAAAGTTGGTTAACTTTTTGTCTTCATTATTTATTCGAATAAAGTATTTTCAAAAGGCAGTCGTTTTCTTTTTTCTTTAACTCGATATTATAATATTTATGATAATGATTGTTATTACTTGCAATATTTAATAATTTTCTCCAACGATATTTTATATTAGGTGGACCGGAAAGTAATGTCACTTTTTTAAATTAAATTCTAACGAATAAATTTTTAACAATTTTTAACAATTTTTAACAATCAAATATCGACATGCGCAGAAACGACATTACTTTCTGGTCCACCTAATATTTAGTGTTGTTTTTCTGAATGAAGATAACAATTAAAATTTTAATATTAAGTCGTTAGAAAATTATAAAAATTATTTAACGATATAATTAGATTTTTAACGAATAGATTTAATAATTGTATACGTAATCATTATTATTTTTGTTTTGTTATAAGAGAAAGACATTGTCGGTTTAAAAGTTTTCATTAAATCGTAAAAATTGAAAGAAAGATGTTAATGTATATTTTATTTTTATAAATATTTAGATTAAATTTTGTAAGAAATAATATATTACTTATATTTATAATTGTTATTATTTCTAATCGTTTAATAAAAAAAATAGGAGATTTAAATTATGAACAATTAAAAATATACGCACGAATATTATATGTACATATCAAGTCTTATAAATTAAATTTTCAACGAACGAATCTCTTTCAAATCCATTTCATAATCATTATTTATGTTTTAATAATAATAAAAAGAATAACAATAAAAAATTATCAAAATCGTAACAGAATGATATAACAATGTTTCTATTTTTAAAAAATTTAAATTCTTAATGAACACAATTTTGATATCCAACAATTTTTATCTTTTTTATAATATAACAGAAAAAAAAAGAAAGAAATATCAATAAAAAAACAATATAAATATCTAAACCGATAACAAATCTATATCCTTGTAATTTTTACTGCCATACAATTTATATTTTTCAATTGGACAAATCTTTCGTATCTTTACTGTTATTACTTTTGTACGATAAAAAAGAAAAAAAGAAGAAAAGAATATCACTTAAACGTAACTATTAAAATAGCATAATGAAATAGTTAAATTCGTAAAGTTGGTACTCACCATTAAGACTCATCGAGTCGTATTGTTCGGTTTGCAATGGTTCCCTATAGATAATGGGATCCATTCCAGCAAAATCGGCGACAGTTCCGGTGTAAAGTTCACCCTCGACATAAACGAAGGTACTGTTGTGTTGAGGATCATAGGGACACCTAGCTTGTCCTCCCTTTTCCTTTATCATCGTGTAATTACCTGCGTGTACGAGGTAATCGCGGCACATCGGTTTGAAGGCGTTCGTTGCGCACACCAAAAGGGTGTTCGAGCTCGTCTTCACGAGTATACGTATATAATTCTGGCAATTTTCTTCCGGCGTCCCTTTGACGACGCACATCTTTACGTCCTTTTCCGTCGAGTACCACGTGAGCCTTTGTTGCTCCGTCAAATCGGTCAAGCTCAGGTTGTGCACTAAATTTCTGAAAAAGGACAAAAACAAAAAAGCGAAAATAACTTTTTATTCTTTATAACTTTTTTTTTTTTTTTTTTCGTTTTTCTATTTATCTTTATCGTTTGTCCTTGTCTTTTTTCCCCTTCGAAAGATTTTATAAAGCAGCGTTTTTTTCTTTTTATGAGAATACAATTTCATTTAATGATACAATTTTTTGATAACAAAATTATCTCCAGTCGAAAAGTCATTAACAATATTGCAACAGTTTATAAGACATTAATTATCAAGTACATTTCAATGATATATTGAAATTGAAGAAACAAATGAAGAGTAAGAAAAATGTGATGATGTAAAATGAAAATAAAATTTTTGTAAAAGATATGAGAAAGTATTGCGAGACGTGTAATTATGAAATAAAATAATATGAATGAGATAATGAGAATGAAAATACGAAAGAAAAAAAAGAAACTAAAAGAAAACGGAATATATACTTTATAATTTTTATAAAAACAAAACAAAAAAAAAAAGAAGAAAATAGAAAAAATTTCTAATTGAAATATTACTATTAAATCGTAATAATCTATAACGAAGAAATTACAAGAATATATTAATTTAATACTAGACTATAATAATTTAAAGAATAGGATTAAAAATGTAAAATGTAAAATATAAAAATAAAATTCTTGTATAATATAAAAGAAGAAAAATTATAAATGTGAAAAAGAAGAGGATGAGTTCGTGTAATAAAGAAATAATATTATGCAAACGACAGTAAGAAATAAAATATACACATACACGCATAGGCATACGCACGCACACGCATAAAGGAACAAAAAAAAAAAGAAAAAAAAAAAAGAAAGAAAGAAAAAAAAATCGAATATAAAGTTATATCGTAAAATAAAAAATTGAAGAGCACATCAAACAACGATTTTATTTGAGGCTACTCTTCTCTCATCATTTTCTAAGCGTGAAAATTATGCAATTTCTTTGAACGAATCAGAACATCTTTTTTCTCTTCTTCTTCTTCTTCTTCTTCTTTTTCTTCACTTCCACCATCTTTACCCCATCCTCCTTCTCCATTACTTCTTCTCTTTAGGGACAACGAAATGTGAGAAAAGAGACACGAAGAAGTCGTGGACATTTGCATTGCAAAATCGAAATTAACAGGAAGATTCGATTTCGTAGAAACTGCGTATCTCTTCATTTACATTCGACTCTGGTTTTTATCCTTTTTGTTTTCTTTTTTCTGTTTTCTTTCCTTTTTTTTTTTGTACTTTTTTTTTTTTTTACCGACCATCCAAATTAAGAATGCAAATATGGACGGTATACGTAGGCGATTCGGACGTGTATCGTGTTAACGGTTCCGATTTTCCTATCGTTGGAAAGAGAGTAACGAATAGAAAAAGATGAGAAAAGATAATCATCGTTACTGTTCAATACGAATTTCGTATCGACCTCAAGAGACAATTCGAATTTCGCGCTCATTTCTTAATTGTTTAAAGTGAAGGAAAAAAAAAGAAGAAAAATCCGCGATGCGAAAAAGGCGGGCTTTTCGAACAAATTAACTTTTCTTTCTTTTTTTTTTTTCCTTTTTTTCTTTTTTTTTTTTTATAATATATTTTGTCGTTTGTTCTTAAGAAAAATTATAAACGTGAAAAAGAAAAAGACGAACTCGCGTGATAACGAATTAATATTGTGCAAACGAGATAATCGTACGAGATTATCGTTCGATCTTTTTTTTCTTTTTTACTCTCGTTTTTCTTTTTATTTTTTTCAATATTTTACCGTCCGATCTTTGTTTCAAATTATCGTTGTCCGGTCTACGATATTTTACTGTTGTAAGAAAAACAAATACAATGGACATTAATCCCGTAATTTCATTTTCAATTTTCATCCTTCGCATGTTTCATTTTTTTTTTTCTTTCTTTTTTTGTTTTTTTTTTCGCATCTCTCTTGTAATTCTAATTCAAGCGTAATAAAAAAAAAAGAAAAAAAAAAAAAAAACAAAAAGAAAAAAGAATCGACGAGATTTACGGGAGAGAGACCCCAGCTTTTCAAGCGAATTAATTGTTTTCATAACGAGTTTGTTTTTTGTTCTTTTTTTTTTTTTTTGTTCAATTTTTTGTTCCTTTCATTTTCAATAATCCTTCGATCGGTCTTTTTTCCCCTCACAAACGAATTATATTATAACGAATGCGGACATGTAATTGAATTTTTCAATTTTCATCCTTATTTCTTTCCATTTTTTCTCAGCTTTCTTATGATCCTAATTCGAGCGTCAAATAACGACGAGACATCTTTGTAAGACCTTTCGTTTCATGAAAGCGCTCCTTTGAGAGTATGAAATTTCTGAAGTTTTTACAGACGCTCGAGTTACGCGTAACTACTTAGAGCTTTTCAAAGAACGAAGAAGAAGAAGAAGAAGAAGAAGAAAAGCAAAACCCAAAAGCAAAGAAAGAGAAAGAGAAAGAAAAAGAGAGAGAAAGAAAGAGAGAGAGAGAGAGAGAGAAAAAGAGAGAGAGAGGGAGAGAAAAAGAGAGAGAGAGAGAGAGAGAGAGAGAGAATAATGAGATATTCACGTTTGGAAACTTCTTTTTGAAGGTTTTTTTTTCGTTTGTTAATCTCAACGACGACGTCGCTTCGAAAATATCAGAAAAAGATTCAATGGAGTGAAAAAAGAAAAACGGAAAATTCTCTCCTGAGATTCTCTCTCTTTCTCTTTCTCTCTTTTTCTATCTCTCTCTCTTTTTATTTTCTTAATCAATTCACGTAACACTCTTGTGATCAAACGAAATATAAAGATACAAATAAAAGAAAAAGGAATTAGATTGTGATTTATATATAAAAAAAAAAAAATCTAATTTATTAAACCGTTAGGGAATAAATTTTAATATCGATTTGAAAATGACATCATTCTTCGTACGTATATAGATGTTACTCATATTCGTTCGCGTTAAATCGTTAAACGTTTAGTTACCATAATTAGAACTTTATTCGACGAACACGTTTGTTCCCAGGAGACAAATTGTTCTAACAAAAGACAAAGTCAAAAGTAAGTACTTTACCAATGAATACATTCGACTAGTGGATCGTTTAGTATCGTTCGTCATTTCCATTTTCTCCGATTCGAAATGTTCAATTTGGAATTTTACTTTGTGCCAATGTTAAGTTCAAATGTAAAGAAGACAAAAGCAATTTACAAAGACATTTAGTTATAAATAATTACGGTAAAAACAATTAATGATTGTTAAAGATCTTTCATTTTACTTTGAATGGAGATCTAGTTCAATACCTGTTCTCTTTTCTTTTTTCTTTTCCTTTTTGTTGTTTTAATTAGATTCCGATATTTCGTTTGATCGACATTACAAAGGTGACGCGTGAATTGATAAAAAAAAAAAGAAGGGAAAATGATAAAGGAAGTGTGTCTGTGTGAGAGAGAGAGAGAGAGAGAGAGAGAGAGAGAGAGAGAGAGAGAGAGAGGAGAGAAAATCTCAAGAGAGAATCATTTTCCATTTTTTTTTTTTTTCGTTTCATCGAATTTTTTTCTGATATTTGAAATCCGATGATAACGAATGGGATACTAGTTAAAGATTTTCTATGGAACCACTTTACCATAACGTATTACACATATATCGATTATCTAAATAGGATCGTTATCTATTCTTACAGGTCTATATATTTAATTATTTATTAATAATAGTTTATTAACGATCTCGATGTATAGGGAAATATTGACAAAATTGGAACGCAACCTAAATAGAATCTCTTTCGTTTTTTCTTAATTAAATATTTTTCTTAATTAAGCAATGCAATTAGGTCTTACTGATAAACAACGGATTGCGCTTTTGGGAAGTGAAAAAGAAGAAAATACGATTGAGTGTATGTAAGTAAGAAAATAAGAAAATATTTCTTTACTGACTCCAAATAGATGTATTAAATGAAAATAAAGACGATGAATAATTTGTACTCAAGAAAAGAATAATAAAAAGAAAAAAAAAACAGAAAACAGAAAAGAAAAAAGAAAAAGAAAAAAGCTTATCATTTTTAAATTATCTTCTTTTGATCCTATTAAATATATTGCACTAAACATAATCTCTATATTTACTAAAAAGAAATTATATTAAACATTATATTAAATATATAACATATAAACATTATATTAAAAAAAAAAAACTTTTTTCATTTATCTTCTCATTGTATTGCTCTAATTATTATTATTTACAGATTTCTCTCTTGATTCCAACTTAAAAAAATAATGAATCAAATTAAGCAACCATTTCTTCTCCATTTGTACCATTTACATAATTTCTATTCTTCTATTTTATACGTACTAAGAGTAATGTAGAGTAATTTCGAGTGAGATAGACTAGCGAATTTAACGTTTTGTAGGTATAGTCCAATTTTCTGAATATTTCTAGTGACAATTATTAAAAAAGAATTTATAAATAATACCTTTTTGTTAGTTTTCAATTAAAAAGAATTAGACAAGTTATTTGTAATATAGGAATTAAATAATCAAAAATTTTCTACTTCTTCTTTAAATCATAATTAACTAACAATTTAACAAAAAAAAATTAATAACATTTTCTGAATACAATCCATTATTATATCATTCAAAGTTTATCTTTATAATCGTGCGATGAGATATTGTTACTGAGAAAAAAGTGAGTCATCAATCTCTGATTCTCATGACAGATGGTATGATTTTTTTCAGGGATAATTGATTCATCGTAAAATTATACACTTACGATGTAAACCCGATTGTTTACGGAGACGATGGATTTTTATTTTTTATATTATTCATTTTTAATGGCGAAGATGTATTATGTGCTTTCTTAAATGAAGTACAACAATCAGAACAACGTGTACCTCGTGTAACGTGAAGAAGATACAAGGGAAAATAAAGAACAAGAACCTATTTCATCTGGTTGTTCGGCAAGTAATTAAGAAAAAAAAAACTCCTGTAACAAACATGCCAAATAAAATGCTAAATGTTAATTAATTCAATCGTTATCAGGATGTAAATTCACCGAATTAGAAAGAGTAGGAGACGTTTAAAGCGGCGAAAGTAAAAAAATGTGCGAGAAATTTGAGCGAATTCAAACGTAAACGTTTCCTTTATGGGAAATTCAATTTCGGATGAAAATTTTTCAAATTTTGTAGTCCAAAAGTCTGAAGAAAATTTTGAGGAAGAAGATAATACTGAACAGCGTTGGGTATAGGGAACAGTATAGCTGTATATCGAAATAAGACGACTGAATTCGATGTATAAAATGAGATAAGTGATTTTACACTCTTACTCTGAATTATGTTCAATTAACTTATTTGGATTTTATTTATTTTTTTAAATTTTATTTTTAGATTTATACGATCTCTGTAGAGAGATTTCATGCGAGTAAAAGAAATAGTTTTTCTTCGTCTTATTTTCAAGATCGCAATTTTTTTTTTTTTTTTTTACTTGGATCAAGACGCCTTGAATCATGGGAAATTTTGGAAAGCGATTTCTTCTTTTCTTTTCTTTTTCTTTTTACAAAAATTTAGAATTATTTTAAAATTTTAATGTTGATATTACAACTTTTTATGTATCCACTTTTACAAATATATATATATATATACATGTATATATATTATTTTTCTTTAACCGTTTGAGCCCCAAGCAACGCGATCGCGCTGTTCAGATTTTATGTCGAGAAAACCCAGCATATTTCGAGCATTGTAGACAACTGACGGTGCGGATTGTCAAATTTTTCAAAGCGATGAAAAAATACGAGAATCACGTTACTTTCCTCAAACAGAAGCGTTATCGTGCTGCTTGGGTATTTTCAAACATATATAGGAAAAACGCGGTTGCGCTGCTTGGGATTCTTCGACAATGTTTTTTCGATACCGTTTGGGATTCAAACGGTTAAATATCGATTAAATTTACGATGTATTGAAGTTTGAAAAAAGATATGAGCCATCGTTTTCGGAATTATTATATTTTAACCCTTTATGGTCCGAATTTTTTTTTTTTTTTTTCCATGAAAAAAGCTATAATTATTTGGTAAAATCTCGATAAATTAAGATGTTACAATGGCCCATAGAGGGTTAAAATATAATAATATTATTCGACGAGTATCTATCAAATTTGGAATATATTAGAAAACTTTTTGTTTTTATCGATTACTTAATAAAATATATCTGTGGTGAAATAAAGAAAAAAAAAGAACGATCCAATACAATATATAATACATAGTATATAAGTATATAATATATATCATATATAGTATATAATACAGGACAACCTTCCACTATTTTTACGTTACATAATTCGTCGATTAATTAATATTAGATAGTTATACATAAAAACGTCTAACTTTTAATATTATGTTAATATTATTATAAATCGAATATTTTATACCTAACAAATTAATATTTAACATAAATATTGTTAATACAAACAATTTATGGACAAAGAGTTTATCTAAATATCCCATATTAATTCTCTTTTGATTATCCATTTTATCGCTTTCGTATAGCATGACTCATCTCTAATAAAACTAATTGTAAGATTGTTATTAAACTATCGAATAAGAAAAAAAAAAGATGGATGATACTCGTTCGCATGAATTCTTTGTATCTCTAAATCAACATCGATGAAATTACGAATCTGCGTCAGAAGATTAATTCTACGATGCAGAAAATGATAACACATCTGTTCTAATAGACAATTTAAATATTTTCACTGGCTAACTAACTGAGTAATTTAGATGCTAATTAAATTTAACTATTAATTTTCCCATTATTCAAGTCATTTCTTTTTCCTTCACACAATCAACAAATTAGTTACGATTATCATTAAATATTACAATTTTCGATTAATAAAACATTTTTCCCTAGTATTAATAATAAAATATGATACATCATTTTACTTTGACTTAATTGTTAATATATAAAAATTAAAAAAATTGTAAAGAAAAATAATTTAATCACCAAAAAATAATGAAATATTGACCTTCACTTTCCTTCGTTTTGATGAGCAGTTCAATTACAACTGAACGGTGAAAAAATGTCTTATCATTAATGTATTGTCATTTCGTATAAATCATATTATCTAATGTTTACGTTTTCTTTTTTCTTTTCTAGTAAATTTTTCTGTGCCATCAGGCAAAAAACAATAGCTTCTTGATATATGTAGTTATATCTTAGAAATACGTGCAAAGCTTGACTCATACTATGTTTATTTAAAAATATACGATGTTACCTCAGATGTGCTATCATTTTGTCAAATAGAGTGTATATATGTCTAATGTGTTTTAATTTATATTCGAGAATAATTTGTAGAAAAATTTGCTGTAACGATTTCTGCTTTGATCTATTTCTAATCGTATTTTTTCTCTCTTTTATTATTATTTTTCTTTCTTTCTTTTTTTTTTTGTTTAATTATTTCTCTTATAGACATAAATCGATAAATCATGTTCGAACGAGACGATTATAGTATATAATAAAACGAAGAGAGAGAGAAAGAGAGAGAGAGAGAGAGAGAGAGAGAGAGAGAGAGAGAGAGAGAGAGAGAGAGAGAGAGAGAGAGAGAGAGAAAGAGAGAGAGAGAGAGAGAGAGAGAGAGAAAGAGAAAAAGAGAAAGAGAGGAGAGTTTTCGAGTTCGATGTTGACGTATCGTCTCGTTCTCGACGATCGTAACACGTTCGAAATTTAATTACTATCGTAATTACGAACTATCACTCATTCGATGAACGTCGGTATATTGATCGATTATTCGTCGAACAATTTTCTTTTAGAACGTACATAGAAAAGATGAATTTTTCAAATTAAAAATAAATTTCTAATGATGGGAGAGTTTAATATAATATAATATAATATAATATAATATAATATAATATAATATAATATAATATAATATAATATAATATAATATAATATAATATAATATAATATAATATAATATAATATATATATATATATATATATCTTTTCATGAATGTTAATTAATCGTAGAGTAAACTCGAAATAATCTATAGATTGATGATATATATACTTATATATATATATATATGCTGTCAATCACTTCTAATTAATATGATATTCCATCAAAAGTTTATACAAAATTATTAAGTCTAAACAAAAAAATTTTCTGTTTAAAACAATTAGAATAATAATTTTAAAAAGGAGCAAAATTTTTAGTAGATCTAAATATTATACTATAGAACACATACACACACATACATACACACATACATACATACATACATACATACATACATACATACATACATACATATATACATGCTAATGTACATATACTATAGATATATAAGATAAGCTTTGTGCTTATAATTATTTTTAAATAAAAAAAGAAAGATTAGAAAAACGTGGTCGAACTTTTGATAGACTTAACAATATAAAATCAAAAAGCCTAATTTATATACGAATGTATGTATATTATGTGCAAAGAATATAATTTATTTTTAATTTATTTTTAAATAAAAAAAAAAATAAGAAAATTAACGAAATGAAAGTTTCGATAAGATTTAATATTATAATATTAAACACGCATCTATTATTCATATATATATATATATATATGTAATTACTAATCAACGTAATATAAACTTTCGAAAAGTTATAGTCGTAATAGAAATTAAAGTAAAGAAGATGAATCGAATAGTGGTCCATTTAATTAATAGCATTCCAACAAAATGAATCCTATATTTACCTTCCACCAACCAGAAGATAGTTGGCATCCCTGAGCACCAGTCGAAAGTAATCTGTGTGCGTTTCATTCCCCGTAAACCTGAACACATCTTCGGCACCTGAAAAAGAACACCAGAATAGGGTAAAAGATTGGTTAGTTTTCACTCTAACGATTTAAAAAAGGGGGAGAAATAAAAAATGGAATTATTTTATTCATCTAATTAGTTGGACTGCTAGTCGAATCATTGCTCGATGGTTGGCCAATGCGATTTTGTTCTTTCGTTTTCTTCTCTCTCTCTCTCTCTCTCTCTCTCTCTCTGTCTTTCTTCCTCTCTCTCACCCTCTTTGTATCTATCTATCTCATTCATTCATTCTTTCATAATTCTCAACGGAAGCCAAGTTAATAAGCGTAATAAGTTTCCTTTTGACCGTCGCAATAGCGTCGAGGAGAACAATGCCTGTGGCCGATCATTAGCGAATTTCGCGTGTCGATGAGTACTTTATCTTACGATCGAGGGTAAATAAGAAGTCTTTTGTTTCGTACGGGCTCTCTTCTTCCTTCTCTTTTACCCTCCTCCTTTTTCACTCTCTGTCTCACTCCTTCTCATCCCTCTCCCAAGGGAAGACTGCCGACGTTACGTTCTCTTCTTCTAATTAGATGAAGAGAAAGGAAGAGAGAAAGAGAGAAAGAAAAAGAAAAAGAGAGAGAGAGAGAGAGAGAGATTTCTATGAAGCGAAGGATACCTATTTCTTTCGTTGTAGAAAAAAGAAACATTAAAGTAGTATAAGGTGAAATTCTTCTTCTTCTTCTTCTTCTTCTTCTTCTTATTCTTTTCTTTTTCTTTTGCTTTTTTTTTTGCAATTATTATTTTTTGCCTCATTTTATTTTATTTTATTTTATTTTTTATTTTTTTTTTTAATGTTTCTTTAGTGACTGAAAGTAAATTTTCTTTATCGACAATATCTTTGAATTTAATATTACAATTTGGTAATACAAGATGGTGGAAATAGAGAGAAGTAGCGAGAGAGAGAGAGAGAGAGAGAGAGAGAGAGAATGAATTTTGATAATGAATGACGATCGAAAGAAATTCGATAATTAACGATAAGTTTGAATAATTTGAAAATATATTGTGAAAGACACTTCTTTTTTTCTTTATATTTTTTTCCATTTTGTTTCTTTTTTTTTTTCTTTTTAATTATAGAAGAAAATTTGTATACAAAAGTAGTCGCGCAATTTTCCCTTTAATTCGGAATTTTAATGGAAACCAAAAAAAAAATAAAAACGAAAAAAAAGGGATGAAGAGATAGATGTCCGATAATGAACGTAGAACGTAGTTGAAAGATTTGAAAATAAAAAGAGAAAAATGGCTTTTCTGCTTTTTCTCTTTCTCTCTCTCTCTCTCTCTCTCTCTCTCTCTCTCTTAATTTTTTTGTTTTCATAGTCTCTTCTTTTTTTTCTTTGTTAACGATCGAAAGAAATTCTTTAACTAAAAGAAATTGTAACTTTATTTTTAGTTTGATACATTAAAAGAGATAAATGATAAATAATCAAATAGATCGACTGTAATAAAAGATGAGGATTGAAAAACTGTATGAAAATATAATGAAAAAAATTGAAACCCTGTTCTACCTTTATATTTTTCTTTCTTTCCTTTCTATTTTTTTTCTCCTTTCTTTTTTTAACGATCAAGGTAAATTTTGAAATAAAAACATGAAAAAAGAAAGATCGCAATTTCATCCCCCATACGAGAACTTTAAAAAAGATTGAATGATTCGTTAATGAACTATGGATTTTTCTTATTTCTTAACAGTCGAAAGAGATGTTTAATCTAAAAAGAAAAAAAAAAACAAACAAAAAGAAAAGAAGGAAAAAATTTTTAAATTAGAATTTCAATAGAGATAAAGATATTCCGTAGTAAACGACGGAGCTTGAAAAACATTCGAAGATACAAAGAAAGAAAAAAGATTTGATCCAGTTTTATCTTTATTCTTTTACTATTTTCTTTTTTTTTTTCTAACAATCGAAAAAAATTGTTATAACCCAAAAGATCGATAGCAAGCAAACAAAAAAAAAAAAAAGAAACCAATAACAAAAACAAAAAAGAATAACGGAAAAGAGGACGAGATCTATTGGTCAAAAAGTATGACCTAGTTTTATCTATATTTTTTTACTGTTTTGTTTCTTTTTTCTTTTTTTTTTTCTTTTTTGTAACGATCAAAGACAATTGTTATAATAGAAAAGATCGATAGGAATAAAAAAAAAAAAACCAGAAAAAAACCGAAAACAAAAACGAAAGAGCGGATGAGATCCACTCGTTAAAAAGTATGACCTAGTTCTACCTTTATATTTTTACTTTTTTATTTTTTTTTCCTAACGAACGAAGAGAATTGTTATAATCGAAAAGATAAAAAAAGAAAAGAATATAATAAAATACCAAACATAAAAACGGAAAAAGGATAAGTAGGATAATATGAGAATAATAGGACAAGAAAATCCTTTAAAAAAAAAAAGATAACGAAAAAGAGAACGAGATTAACTAGTCAAACAATCTGACCTAGTATTATCTTTAAATTTGTACATTTTAATTGTTTTTTTTAATGATCAAAAAAATTGTTACAATAAGATATAACAATAGTACAAACAAAGTAAAAGTCAAAAAACGATAAAAGGAAGGATAACGAAAGAGAGGATGAGATTAACTCGTCGAAAAAAATCTGTTTCAGTTTTATCTTATATTTATATTATTATTTTTTAATTATTTTCTTTAACAATCAAAGAAATTTGTTATAATAAAATATAACAATAGTTATAAATAAAGAAAAAGTCAAAAAATGAAATCAAAAACGAAAACGAAGAAAAAAAAAAATAAAAACGAGAAGGATAACAAAAGAGAGGATGAGATTCACTCGTCAAAAAGTCGTCCGATTAATTAGTTTCGAGTCGAGTCGAGTCTCGATGGAACGTGATTTAATTAATAAAACCGCGAAAGGGTGTAGCGTACGAGGGTGAGACCCAATGGATTCGATGATCGACGATGATTACAACGCGTTTTCCCACGAATTTTCACGGCGATGATTCGATAAACGATCGGAGTCACAATTCCGACGTAACGCAATACGTATAGAACACGTACGCGTTATACCAAAGTTACACATAGATATATAGGGCACATATACAATCGAACATACAACGAACAGCTTCGTTTTCGATCCGTGCAATTTGATAGGCGAATAGGCGAGTGGTAACGACCACCAATGGTGATGAGGGGGAGAGTACGACGAACGGGCCATTATCGAAGGATCATACGTCTTGCTGTAGAAACGAATTAACGTCGATGTTATTTCCCGTACCATTACACAACAGAAAGAGAGAAAATAATCTACAAATACACATGAGTGTGTGTGTCTGTGTTTGTATTTGTACAAAAGCAAAATAGAGGAAATAAAATGGAACTAATTGTGAAATAATTTCTTTTTAAGCTATTTATTAAAACTTGTTCCGTTAATGTAATTATACGAAAAGTATCATTTTCTAGGCTAACGAATCTCATGGACTTTCTTGAAAGAATAACAGAGAGAGAGAGAGAGAGAGAGAGAGAGAGAGAGAGAGAGAGAGAGAGAGAGAGAGAGAGAGAGAGAGAGAGAGAGAGAGAGAGAGAGAGAGAGAGAGAGAAAGAGGGAGAGAAAAGTAACAAATAACTTTAAATATATATGTATATGAAATAAAATAAAACTAATTACGAGAGATAATTTCTTTTTACGTTAATTAATTCTATTCACGTTTTATATAATATTATAATTTAATTTTACGATTGTTTACAGCTTACTCATTTAATACAAGTTGTAATATAAAAAAGGAAAAATACAAATTATCAGAAAAAATATTTTTGAAGGTTTAACAATAATTGAAAATTTTTATAAGAATACGAGAGAAAGAAAAAAATAAACAGAAATAATGTAATAATAGAGAAAAACAAAGTTAAACTAATTACCAGAGATAATTTCTTGGTTTAAATTAAATTTATTAATTCCATTCACGTTTTAGATAATATTATAATTCAATATTACGATATAACTTATTTGTTTAATATAAATGATATATATATATATATATATATATATATAAAAGAAGAAAAAATATTATTAAACGTGAGCAAATATTTGTAAAGATTTAAAATTCTTATAAGAGAATCAAAAAGATAAGCTGAACTACTTACGATAGATTAATATCTTTTTACATTTATTAATTCAATTCACATTTTATATTATATTTTAAATTAATTTTACGATTATGTACATACATACACGCACATATATGTATATATAGTTTATTCATTAATACAATTGATAGTATATAAAATGAATTACTGATATATAATATAAATATTTTTGAAAATTAATAATGGCCAAGTACTCTCTTAAAGGAATGAGAAAAAGATAGATAGATAGATAGATAGATAGATAGATAGATAGATAGATAGAGAGAGAGGGGGGGTGAGGAGAGAAAGAAAGAGAGAGGGAGAGAGACGAAACGAAACGACCTCTTTCTCTGATTGCTTCTGAAATTAAACTGAGAGTTTGTATTCTATATTTCTATCTTCATCTCTCTCTCTCTCTCTCTCTCTTTCCCTCTCTCATCAAGTTACTGCTTCATTCCGTTATCGTTTTCCAAAATTAATCGTCCGATTCCAATCTTTCTGCGGCCATTCTCTCAATCACGAAAAGACGTCATGTAACTTCGATTTGTCAAATAACTGCCTTTAGATAAAAGACAATTTTCCGAATACATTCGATGAATCGAAAAGTATTCAAACGAAGGAAAGTGATTGAAAAGTTCTTCAAATTAATAAATTAATTTATATATTTAACCGTGTCACGATATTGTTACATTGGAAATTCTCATAATAGTAATTAATTGTTTGTTAATATATTGTTTTTTGTTTTGTTTTTTTTTTTTTTATACAAAATAACGTCACACGAAAAAATATGTTCGAAGAATATTTCAGACAAGATACATGTTCAGTGGAGACTTGAAAATCGATATAAAATGTAAACCACATTGAAAGTGAAGGAGTAAAGAGAGAGTATGTACGTGAGAGAGAGAGAGAGTGAGAGAGAG